CCAAACAACAATGACAGCTGCAACCAAAAAATAGCTGGGCATTGTGACGGGCGCCTGTGGTCCCAGCTACTTGGGAGGCTGAGGCAGGAGAATCGCTTAAGCCCAGGAGTTGGAGGTTGCTGTGAGCTGTGAAGCCACGGCACTCTACCCAGGGGGATAGCTTGAGGCTCTGTCTCAAAAAAAATAAACTCGTGGCTGTCTGCCAGATCTCCAAACCCTATGCAGGGGCCGGGCAGGGCACTGGCCTTGACAGGAGCCTGTGCGGGTTGCTGCCTCTTCACATGCTGGACGCCCTGGCCCCAGTTCTGCATGTGCACATCCTATATAAGCCACACGCTAAGGGCAAACATTTTGGTGCTGTTTGGTAACTATTTTAAATTACATCACTTTAAAAAGCAGAGGGGAAGAAAATCTTCAAATGAACACTGCATACTTAGAATATTCCAGGAGATTGTTGGAGTAGGTCTTGTGTAATTCCCAAGTAGCTACATGAATAAGACAAAGTCCCTGCCCCCGGGTGCTTCCTGCTCCCCAGGGGAGATGGCCTTGGGGGGGGGCTTCGTGTGCCAGTGAGTGTGTGAGGTGCAGGGGGCTGGGGTAGAACCCTCCAAAGGAAGAGGTGGGGAGCCCAGCAATGGTCCCAAGGGCTGTTGCTCAAAGACCTCAGGGACACCTATGAGTTTTCTGGACAGAGATGAGGATGGATGATAAGCAGAGAGGACAGCAGAGATGGGGTAGGCAGGGAGCAGATTTGGGGGTGGGGGAAGGTCACCAGGAGGACAGGGGCCTTGGAGGTGCTGTGTGATCACAAGTGCATCTTGGCAAGCTTGGTCTGGCAGCCACGGGGTCCAAGGGCTCTGGGGCCCTGAGAAGGTGGCGGCAACAGTGGGACTCCACTTATCAGAGAGTCACTCCCTGTACACTGCCCAGGGCTTTCGGGTTATGCCCTGGAGAGCTGACCCTCCTACTCAGACTTGCTGTGGAATCTCCGAAGGGTCCATGGCAATCAGTTCCCACACTTTGCTTTATGTGGATACCCCTGTATTCCAGAAGAGGTGTTTGCTGGGCCTCTGGTCTGTGGAAAGTGTGTGGTCAGCTGTCTCTCTGCGCTGCCACCACGGGGCTCATGAGGGCCCTACCCTATCAGGGGGTGGGAACCTTGTCCTCTAAGCTCAGTCCTCCCCCCATACCCGCTCAGGTGCGTTCTTCACGAAGGTGGTGGAGTTGGGAGTCTCGTCTCTGAAGCTGGAGATCTGGGACACAGCTGGCCAGGAAAAGTACCACAGCGTCTGCCACCTCTACTTCAGGGGTGCCAACGCCGCGCTCCTGGTGTATGACATCACCAGGAAGGTAGGCTCCCTGGCGGCCAGAGCTCACCTCCTGGGACATCTGCCTTCTGTGTCCTCAGGGGTGGGGAGGGCTCTTCCGAAGGAAGAATCTGGCCCAGCTGCTGCTGTGCAGTCTAATCATGTAAGGAGGAGAGACGTGTTGGTGAGCCTTGGTCACCTCCTCCAGGAAGCCCGCCTGGCAAGCCCCTCCTCCAAGGTTGGGCTCTGCTCTTCCAGGGTCCTCCGCAGCACCCTGAGCACAGCAGTGCCATCTGCCCTCCGGAGTCCCTGAGTGCCATGAGCTGGGGCCATGTCTGCCTGTTTCAACACTCTTTGGAGTGAGCCTCCCAGGCAGATGCTCCCAGGCAGATGAGCAGACTGGTCAGGCATGATGGGAGCTGAGATGGGGGAGAGAGAAGTGGTGATGTGTGCTGCGGAGGTGACAATGGGCAGGGAGTCGGGGGAAGTGTGTCCCAAGTGAGGCATGTGGTGGAGTCTGGGGGTGACAAGATGGGCTATGGGAGTGCTGGGTTCTGTGGGGTGGTGGATACTGTGTGGGGCTGGAGGTCTACAAGTCTGCTGCAGTTGGGGTCATGATTTGGGGTGATGGCTACTCCCCCAAACTCTTGCACAAAATGACCCTTTGAGGACATTTAGGGTGGAGGCTTCAGAGCTTGAGGCCTGACCCCAAACACACCATGGCCATCAGTCTTCTGGGCCCCGTTGTGGGAAGGAGCTGAGTTGTGTCCTGCAATTTGCTACCCAGCCACACAGGTCACCTAGGGCAGGAAAAGACCTGGCTACCCTCTCCTCAGGGGCAGAGCAGCCCTGCGGGTCTGTCCATGGCCACTGGATCCCGAGACACTTTGCACAATGGGACCAGCAATGCTGGCTTTCTGCCCTGGGAGAGCTGCCCATGGAAATTCTCTCTGCTGTCTTAGGATTCCTTCCACAAGGCGCAGCAGTGGTTGCAGGACCTGGAGAAGGAGTTCCCCCCGGGGGAGGTCGTGGTCATGCTGGTCGGCAACAAGACGGACCTCAGTGAGGAGCGGGAGGTCACCTTCGAGGTAGTGCCTGGTGACGCTGTGTAAAGTCCCACAGGAGGAGGAGTCTGCCCACACACTCACACACGCACACCCCGGGGACACTGTGTAAAGTCCCACAGGAGGAGGAGTCTG